ATTGAGATCAACCTGGTAGACTCAGTCTAGGCAGGTCCAGTCCCCTCCTCCCAGGCTGAGCCAAGTGTCTCTGCATAAGTCCCAGGTTTCAATCAGCCAACTCATGCAATGAGCACAGGACCCGGTCCCACTGCCTAGATGCCTCCCAAACAGATCAAGCCAATCAACTGTCTCACCCATTCAGAGGGCCTGATCCAGTTGGGGGCCCCTCAGCCATTGGTTCATAGTTCATGTGTTTCCATTCGTTTGGCTATTTGTCCCTGTGCTTTATCCAACCTTGATCTCAACAATTCTCGCTCATATAAACCCTCCTCTTTCTCACCAATTGGACTCCTGGAGCTCCACCTGGGGCCTGGCCGTGGATATCTGCATCCAGTTCCCTCAGTCATTGGATGGGATTTCTAGCATGACAGTTAGGGTGTTTGGGCATCCTATCACCAGTGTAGGCCAGTTCGGGCTGTCTCTTGACCATTGCCAGCAGTTTATTGTGGGGGTACCTTTGTGGATTTCTGTGGGCCTCTCTAGCACTTTGCTTCCTCCTATTCTCATGTGGTCTTCATTTACCATGGTCTCCTATTCCTTATTCTCCTTCTCTGTTCTTGATCCAGCTGGGATCTCCCACTCCCCCAAGCTCTTTTTCCCTCGACCCTCGCCCTTCATTATCCCCACTAATGTCCAAAGCCTGGCTTTCTTAATAACATTCTCTAATATGTCACTTATCACAAAGCACAAAAGATCTAACACTTAGGATAAATCAATAACAAAATGAGACAATAAAGGTCCTCAATAAAGGGCCAACTTAAATTTCTTCCATAATGGAATTGTTCTATATATGTGCAATGATTGTTCAATTCCTTGATGCATTTTTATTAGTAAGAATGTTGCCTCTCATGTGCTAAGTCCTTGTTTCTGAAGAAGCTTATCTAACATTTTAAAACTCAAGGTGCCCTGCTTTACCTGGAAATGTCCTGGCTTAAAACACTTAAAACTCTGCTCCATAGGACAGCCTGGTTTTAGTCCTGAAAGTCTCACATGCTGGGAAGTCCCACAGTCTTGGGTAATCAGAACAACTGGGCCTTTTGTTCTTGGTATTTCTACTCTGCTTGGTCTTAGAACCTCCAACACCTCCAATGAGGTACATTGGAATGAGTCACAAAGGCAGCATGGACAGAAGCTCTCTGAGACCACATCAGCTTTCAGTAAGATGAAAAAGTAGAGGGCAATTTTTATGCAAATATGAAAAACTGTTATAATCCTGTAACAATGTTAAGGTTATTCCACGGCAAGTTATTTTAGAAAGTATGATTTCCAGAATTTAAGCAGACCTATGCAGAAACCTGAAGCAAATCTTGAAGCACATGATACATAGCTTCTGATGCCTGAGGAACCTGGCCAGGACACAGAGTGGGCTGACCATGAAAAACTATGCCTTTGTAAGGCATAGTCTGAAGGTTCTGCCTTTTGCAAAATTAGCTTACACAAATTATATTACAGTACTTGGACTATGTGACCATTATTTTTTGTGACATTCGACAAAGTTGAGTTCATATGATATATGGGATGAGTAAGATTTTGAAAATTAAATCAAAAATCAACTTCCACTCCCTGATTACTCCAGTCTTTTTTTTTTTTTGCTTTTGTTGTTGTTTTGGTTTATTATGAAGCATAACATTACAATACTGTTTTATTTTCTTTCTGTAAAATCACAGGAAACCTTTCCATTTGATGCCCTTCTCCTCTTATAGCACTTTAGAATGTAAATAATTTCTAGATAGAGAACACCACACAATCTATTGCAGAAAATCTATGTCATCCCTCCTCACTAGCTTACTCCCACAACCAACACTCAGTTACACCGTAATGTGTTTGCACCAGAGAAAATTACTGACCTCATGATCTGAACAGCACAAGGCTCTCAAAATATATTGCCTCATCTGTTAGGTTTGATTAAACCATTTATCAGCAAAAAATAAAAATTGCTTTTCTTTGCTTAGCATGTCTGGAGATTTGAGAGTGCTTTGTGAGGCTATGTAATCTCAGCATTTGTAGTGGTGCTATGCACTGTCATTGGTTCAGGATAATGGGGATGCATGCTTGCATTAGGAAGACAGTTACTTTTTTTTATGTGCCCTCCTGTTGCATGTGTATTTAGTGCACTACACTGTTGCATAGATTAAACTATCTAGACACATTTAGTTTACTACACACACACACACACACACACACACGCGCGCCCATTTAGGGAGTCATACCATCACTCCTCTATCCATGATATATATGCATTGAATTTTTTTTCCACCCATGGAGATGGATTTATGGTGTGTGCTTTCTCACTTTAGTGCAATATCTGGCTGAAATTAGGAATGTGGCCAGACATTAAACAGTAGAGTTTTTCCTCATGTAATGCTCATTGATCCCTAGGGCCACTGAATTGCTGTCTTCATCTTTTACCTCTACTCCCTACTCAGTGGAGTCAGTGACTCCAATGAATGTGAATTAGATAGATGCACAGTTTGATCCTCTATGATTCTGAGGGGTTAGGTGACTTCACAGATGTGGTCAATTTTGATAAGTTTCTAGATGAAGTTGCTTTTGGCCTGGGATGATTTGAGCAAATTGTTATTCGGGTCTCGTTATAGACACAGTGCTGGAAAAATGTATGAGATCAGTGCCATATTTATGTAGCTTCAAAATTGAAAAAGAGTTGCTGCTTTTTGAAGTTTCTGGGGAGGTTTTGTAAAAGAGAGTGGTAACATCCATTGATTGCTGCAATATCCACCGAGTAGCTATCATGTGCTGGGCATAACTTGGAGACAGGATCAAGACCAGAGTCCCTTAAGGACTTTACCATCTAGGGGCATGTCAGATAGTCAAATAAACACACACCAATCACAATTCCATGAGTGTTTCAAGTATAGGTTGGCATATGAGAATTACAGTTTGCCATGGGAGGGAGAAGGGAAGCTTATTTCATAGGTAGAGCTTGAAATTGCTATTTAGAGAATGATTAGGAATTTGAAACAATCGAGAGGGGAAGATAGGAAAAATGTGCTTCAGAAGGAGAAAAATTGTATCAAGTTCTTGAAGCTGAAAAAGATGATTATTTAATATTACTGGAAATATACATGGAAGAAGGGTTTGATGAAGGGATGCTATGAGCTAAGTGGCATAGGCAGATGGGCTAGTCAGATTTGAAGACCTTCCATGCTGAATGACAGAATTCTTTAAAGTTTATAAGAGATGTTTATTATGGTAAGAATCCTAACAAGTGGCAGTTGGAGAGTTGCCATTATATATCTTCAATAGCCTGGATGCTTCTTTCTCTAAGCCAGTATAAAAGCTCTGAGTACCATAGGGAGCATAACAAGCTTGACTGAGGAAGCTCTGAGATTACTGCTTAGCTGGTTCTGAACTGTTGAACACACCTGCTGGGGTACCCTGTGTCAGATTCACAAGTTCATTTTACTAATGAGGATAGAGACTCAGCAAGGTTAAGTTGCTTCCCCCTCCAGATTAAAGAACTAGTGATGCTTGAGGCTGACGAGATGTACTGTTGCTAATTTTCATCTGACTGAAAGAAAGGCTGCAGGGATTCTAAAAGAAACAGGGAAGATAAAGATTTATAGTATGGTCATAGTAGTGAGAAGCTGAGCATTGGGTGGCTAGGATGGAAAAGGAGCATGTGGGCAGATTCTGAGTGGGGAAATAAAGGAGCCATACAATAGTAGAAAAAGTAGTAAGACTGAACTCTACTAGGAATGCTAAGATTTCCAGTTCAAGAGAGCTTGTTGGCCAAGGGTAGTAGATTCTGGAGAGTGACGGTGGAATTCAAGAGAAGTGGCGTCAAGACACTAAATTAAACATCAGTGGCATTGATGATGACTTTCTTCATAAATTACTGTTTCAAATTCGATGTGAATGACCTATCTGGATAACTGAGAACCTCCACTCCTTGTGCTGGAATTTAGTAGAACATATTTCTCAATCACTGCTCCCATGACTGGTAGAGTTAATTTTATGAAAAGCAGAAGTGCAGGACACTTACTCTTAAGAATGGATCTGCTTTGTAAGGACATGGCATTTCACTGGTTTCATTCCCACAATGCATCATCCTTTGTTCGAGGAGTAGCTCATGCTGCCTCAAAATACTCAGGTGCTATGGACATCAAGGGGAGACACCACAGACAAAACCAAATGGCCAGGAAGGAAGGGAACACACTGCCCAGTAGGTATTATTTTAGGCTATCATATCGGGACTCCTCTGATCACAGTTGTTAGATGAAGAATCTGTGAACTTATTCCTCATTAGGTTAACATTTTGGCAAATCTCAACAGTCACTATGACTTTCACTTTACATTCTTGCCCAACACATCAGCTTGGAGCATTTTGGAAGCCACTGCTTTCTGTTCCTCAATGCTTTGGAGACTTCCATCAAGTGCACATGTGAAATGGTACATTGGTAAGATGCCCCCTCTGTATGCCCCAAATAGGAAAATGTTTTCTGTTAAAGTTTGCATAACCCCTTTCAGTACTTTGCATGTCAAGAGTACAGGCCTTAAAGTGTGCTGGTGGTTAAAGACTATGTTTTTATTTTAGTGTGTGTACCAATACTTTCCTACCTTGAATATATTCCTTCATTTAGACATCATCCAAGGGACTAAACAATTCTATCTTTTCCTTGACTTTTTGGAGATTGTCAATAGACAAGCATCAAGTTCAATAAACTTCTTGGAGTCCCTTGAGCTGACCCAGAGATAAATGAAACATGTAAGTAGAGATGTCTGCTCTTCTGCCTGATATGTAGTAGACACTCATTGACATGCTTTCTCACACATAACAGAAAATAAATCCCAAAGAAATAAAAATTCTTGTGAAACCAAAATCCCTCAAAATTCACTCCTATTATCAATATTTTTTTTCTTTTTAGATTTTGAAAGTGAGAAAACAAGTTGTAGCTTGCCTTTGAAAAATAAATTTTCTCTATGTCTCTTTCTCTCAGTGTACCTTTTTGGAAAACAATCTGGCTGTTGAGTTCTGATTGAAGAGGAGGCACACTGCAATATGCAGGCATGAGATACTTGAGCAGAAGATAATGCTTGCAGCCGTACTTTTAACATTCAATTTCAGTGCTGTCCAGAAAAACTGTAAAACTGGGGAAAGGTGAGTAATAGATTTGACAGCTACACATTAAAATGGACCTTATTAGTGAAATATAAATTATAGCTAGGCATTTCTATAACACCCCATGAAGTTAATGATAAGCAGTCAAGGAGATTTATATACCCTTAACATTTTTATAATGAGTCTGTTGCTTAGATGACAGTTGACTGTCAAACATTATGCTTATAAACTATAGTATTTGATTCAAATAAATAGACGTTTAGCTTCATGTGGTTTGTTTTGATTTTCCCTTTTCACAAGGTACATACCCTCACTTTTCTCTCTCTTTACATTTTTTTTTCTTCTGTAGACTATGCCCTTAAACTTATACCCTACACTGGAAAAGAAGGTTTGAAGTGGGTGCACATTGACCAGCATGAAAAGCTGTTGTGCTCAAAGAGAATAAGTTCCCTGGATTCTTGGAACAGGTATGAGGACTCTGCAGAGGAGTCATGGTTTGCTAAAAAGTATCAAAATTTACAGGGTCTTCTGATGGCGGTTGCAGGGATGTTGTGATGAAAGAGGAGGGCCTTTAACAGTGAGAACGAGCATCCCTTACACATTGTGCAGAGGAGATGATGTCCAGTCCTTTCCTGGAAAGAGTCCCATATGGATTATTACAACTGCCTGTAGTCCCGAGGACAGCTCTTCATTGGCCAAGTGCCTCGTAAATGGTGCTGACAGATTAACAACAGCTGGAGAGGGTCCACAGAGGTGATTCTGAGGGACACTTGACAGAGCCCTGCTGCCCCTACGGGGTCATTTTGCTGCACAGGTCAAGTGCAGACATCTGCTGCCTCTACGCAGCAGGAAGTCTTACTTTGGGAAGCAGATGTCTGCTTTTGGTTTTCAGGAAATAGAACTGTTGCTCAGAAACCGTGGCCTATCAAGTTAGAAAGACTTCAAAGGTAGGTGTTTTCCAAAGGGGTGGTATTAGAATGGCGTTTATGTGACAGCTTAAAATATTTCAAACAGGCTGACAAGATCTTTGCTCTCTGCTCTGTGTGGTTGCATATATATGCTACCTGTCCTACCTACCCTAGAACATGTCTGCTAGCTACCAAGGTGAGCTTGAAATCAGCACCTGCATTTGAACTTTGGGAAGACTGCCACTTGCTCCTCACCAGTTCTAGTTTGGTTTCTGTTACTGTAAGTAAACACTATGATGAAAGCAACTTGGGCAGGAAAGAAGTTTTTGGCTTAGAGATTGTCTTATTTAGGGTTTCTATTGCTGTAAAGAGACACCATGACCACGGCAACTCTTAGAAAGGGAAACGTTTAACTGTGGGGGCTTGCTTACAGTTCAGAAGTTCAGTCCATTATCGTCATGGTAGGAAGCAAGGCAGCAGCATGCAGGCAGACATGGTGCTGGAGCTGAGAGTCCTTGCATCTTGATCCAAAGGCAACAGGATTGGTAATTGTCTCGCTGGGCATAGCTTGAGCATATATAAGACCTCAAACCCGCCTCCACAGTGACACACTTCCTCCAACAAGGCCAATATCTCTTAATAGTGCCATTCCCTTTGGGGGTCATTTTCTTTCAAACCACCACTGAGATTATGGTATAGCATCAAATGAAGCCAAGGCAGGAACACTCAAAGCAGGAATTGAAGCAAATACCACAGGGAAACACTGCTGACTGGCTTTCTTTTTTGCAGCTTGCTCAACTACCTCTCATAGACAGCTTAAGCCTACTAGCATAGGGATGGCATTGGCCATAGAGGCCTGGGCCCTCTTACATTAATTAGCAATCAAGGGAAGGCCAGCAGACATGTCCATGGGCCAATCTGATGTAGGCAGTTCTTTAACTGAGGTTCTGTCTTTTCAGGTTTGTCAAGTTAACAACAAAACTAACCAGAACACACCTATTCTTATCAACTCTTATGTTTTCCTTTTTGAAGTCAGCATGGACCACCCTCTTGTTTTGTTTTGAATCTTAGAGGGTTTTTTTGTTTGTTTGTTTTAGAATACTGTTAGTTTGTCTCTAGGTGTCCCTCATGCATATCATGTACAAATACTTGCCAATGGCTGCTTCACTGGTGGCGAATGCCAGAGCCCTCACAAGGACACATGTATACCCCAACACTGAGACTTTTAAGCAATGATTTCTGCTATGGTAAGAACAACATAATCATCTGGGCTCAAGGTTCAGTGCTAGTTTACATTACTCTCTGGTACTTCAGTAGTCCTGTGATACATTCTTTTTTTTCCTTCATTTTTCTTTATTAAGAAATTTTCTACTCACTCCACATATTATCCACAGATCCCCCCTCCTCCCACCCCCAGCCCTGTTTCCCAAGCCAACCCACATCCCCACATCCCCCAAATCAAGGTCTCCCATGGAGAGTCAGCATAGCCCAGCACACTGAGCCTAGGCAGGTCCAAGCCCCTTCCCACTGCACCAAGGCTGTGCAAGGTGTCACACCACAGGCACCAGGTTCCAGAAGCCTGCCCATAGACTAGGAACAGATCTCGATCCCCCTGCCTGATGTGCCCCCCAAACAGTTCGAGCCAAACAACCATCTTCCATATCCAGAGGGCCTAGTCCAGTCCCATGGGGGCTCCACAGTCACCAGTCCACAGTTCATGGGCTTCTACTAGTGTGGCTGGTCATCTCTGTGGTCCAGAAGGTGCCTGGACCAGTCTACTCTAGTGACCATCCTAGCAAATAACCTAGCTGTCATCATGGAGCCTTTGTCCAGTGACTGATGGAGGCAGATACAGAGATCTACAGCCAGGCACGAGGCTGAGCTCTGGGAATTCAATTGATGAGAGAGAGGAGAGATACTGCAGGGGAGGGATGTTGAGATCATGATGGGAGGATGTGCAGAGATGACCAGCCACACTGTGAGGCATTCTTAATATCCCCCCTTTTTTCAGTCTATGTGTGTCAGAGCATGGCTTCAAATCCCAAGCTTGAGATTCTTTTAAGAGTAGTAGAACCACAAGTATAAACTAAAATAGTCTAGAAAAAAAAGGAGCTTTGAGTTTTCATGCCACCTCACTGTCTTGTTTGGAAGTCTCAGCTGGCAAATTTATCTTCTTTTTTCATGAGGATACTATTTCATGTGATCGTCCTTGCCTCCAAGCTGATTGATGACAAGTGTTACATTTAAATAATGCCACAGTTAGGAAAGAAGTAGAAAGACACCTTTTAAAGTCTCTGATGCCTGAGTCAAGGTGTGGCACAGACCAGGTCTAACACATAAGAAGATTATCCATAGAGACTTAGTAAATTGGTAGTTTTGGTATATTTGTAGGAAAAAAAAATACAAATGTTGCTGCTATTAGGAAAAAAAGAGATACAGTGGAGATTACTAGTATGCACCAGGTAAAAGCAGGCATCCAGGAAAAGTGGTTGTCAGGGAGAATTATGAAAGCAAGCAATGGCACAGTGACAACTTGGTAGACATAAAAAGGTTGTCAAAGGGTCATGGACAGAAGGTAACACTTCTCCAATGTGCCCTAGATGTCATCAGTTGAAGGCACACAGCCCCAGTGACTGAGTAGGTTGTTGAGCAGAGGTCTTAGGACCTTCAAATGAGAGACACAGACTCTGCCATCAGGAGTTTAGATGTGGGAGAGATCTGTGATCAAGTGCTTATTGCTTAGACTGGGGTAGAAATCCTTTCTAGCCAAGGACCGATATTCTTTTAATATAGCACAATATGTACTTCAGGTTGTCTGTCAGTATTTGGGGATTTTGAAACACAATATTATCAAAGGCACTGACATTTGATTCATAGAAAATGAAAAAAAATGATGCATTGTTATCAAATGCCTTTTCATAAACATCATATTCATGTATTTCACATAGCTTTTCTCTGAGGTTTAAAACAGCAACTTGTCCTTAGAAACCAGAAGAGGGCATGTGGAATGGTTCCAAATGAAGATATTAATATTCACATTATAGCTAAACCTTGCTAATTTGCACTAATGACTGGGGAACCCATTGCAAATTACCAAATTAGTGAGTAAGCCAGCAACCAGGATTTCTAAAAACCCAAAGACAGCACCAGAAAATGAGCCTCTTCCTATAATTTCATCAATGCAATTGAATTTTAACCATTAGGAGTAATTTGTAGCCTATATTTTGTCTATCTTGCAAACCTAGGTTCATTTTAAAGAGCGGTGGTGAGGGTATGAAAATAAAGTTTATTTTTAGTACACTGTTGTGATTAAGGAATGTATGTAAAAGAAAAGAAAACCTTGGGAAAAAGACACTGAAGATTTGTGTGAAGGGTTTTATTTTTATTATATTTTTATTATTATGCCTGATATAACTGTTTCATTTTCTCTTTTAGTCATCCTCCAGAATGTGCAAATGTTTAATGAAATATTACACCAAAGACTCATAAGCATCAGTGAAATCTCTCAACTAACCAGCCGCCTTATTAGTGAAAGAGGTAATTTTCTGAAGCTCAATTACATGAAAATGGAAAAGAGATGAGTGAGAGTAAGGGCCGGAATACCAGCCTTGTTGGTAGTGACAGCCCAGATCTATAACCAGTAACAACAGGAAGAAGGGCCTAGTACACAGGTCTTTGGGACCAGCTATGACTTACCCACTAAAGGGTTGTGTTTTCTTATAATTAACAATCCTTCTCTTTTCAAAGTACCTCATTTTATGTTTGCCATTTACTATTGTATGTGTGAATTCTTGTTTTGCTTTTCTTTTGTAGGTTTTTTGAGGACTTCATACATGAGCATTCTATATCCCTTCTGCCCCCTCTTCCTCCTCATCTTCTTCTCATGTCCTTCCTCCCAAACTCACGATGTTTTCATTGTTATTGCTATGTGTAGATCTAACAATGGATTGGACAATTGGAAACTCATGCCTGGATGAAATTGATTCTCCCTTTCTCAATAGCCGTTGACCATCTATAGCCTGTCATCTAGGGTTAGGACCCGGTGGAATCACTTTGTCTGTCAACTGGTGGTGTCTTTGTGCTGGTTTCACTCAGGCATCCTTATTTTTGAGAGTTCATGGGTACATTTTTCCTGTCATGTCTAGGGAAACTACTTACCAGCAGTCATTCTGAGCCTCTGGCTCTTATAGACCTTCTTCCTTTTCTTCTGTGATTTTCTGTGAGCCTTAGAAAAAGGGATTGGATTGTAGATGGATCAGGTGGGTTTCCACACAATCACTTACCTTCTACATTTTGACCAGTTGTAGATCTCTATAATATTCTTCATCTGCAGCAAAAAAAGGTTTTTTATATGAAAGGTGAGAGGTATACTTCTCTGTGAATATAATATATTTGCTTAGAAAAATGACATTAGTATGTTCTCTTTAGGGTCTGTGATCTCCTCTGCTACAGGTTTACAGGTAGGTTTAAAATACCAGGCATGGATTGCCTTTTTTTTTTTTTTTTTGAGCAGGCCTTGGTCCAATTTGACAGTTGTTGGGTATTCTCCAGATAAAAATATCACAATTTCACCATTGTGAACATTTACCCCTCTAATCATCACTATGGTTCATAGGCTCTGCAGGTAGGACTACTGACTTCTTCTCTCACTTGGAAGCTTGCATAGCAACTTCCTATATTATGAGAGTCAGTTCTCAGGGAAGTAGTGTCCAAGTCAGTCTTAACTCAATTCCTCCAAGTCCTGTGTCCGAAATGTGGTATCTTCAGAACAGGGCCTTTTTTTTCAAGTTGTGGGAGGCAATCAAGGACAATGGCAGTAGCTTATTTTGTTTGGGGGAATCTCTTGGACTCCCCTGAACACCTGGTACCAAGTTTTCTCTGCTTTTACAGAACTTGAATCTTCCTTAGTTTTTGGAGCCAAAAAGTCTGGATTTTTTTTTCTGGAGAGGTAGTGGGGTAAGGAAAAAAAAAAAAGGCTGAGTATATAATCTAAAATGTGTGGATGTCAGAGAAGAGCTTCAGGCTCAGAGTTCCAGAGACCCTTTGGTTTCTTTCTTATTTTCTCTAGGCAGAGTTATCCTCATCTTTTGTTAGCAAAGAGAACCTCTGCCTTTCTTGCCTCACACAGGAGGTCAGAGCTTCAGCTGTGAATATAGAGATAAGGCACAAGGTAGAGTATTATCATGAATTAATTCTCAGGGCTACCTGTCTTCTAGGGGTTGAAAATTGTTCCTGACCTTACTTAACTCTGGGGTCCTAGAGCTTAGCTAGTGGTGGCTGATCTTGGTTTACTCATCTCATATGGAAAGTCACATTAGGAAATCCAAACCAGGTGTGGTTGGCTAACTGTGACAAGACTGGAAATTGCCAGCTCCACTGAGCCCCCAGGGCCAAATGGCAGGTACTGGAAATGTTCAGTTCTAAAGGAGGTAGGCTTCCACGGCCGTGATTCTCCTAACATCCTCTTCATAATCACAGCATGCATTTAAGGAACTCTCTCTTGCCACAGAAATGGCAAAGCAGGGACTTTTCTCTTTCACACTGAGTCAGAACAAGGACTAGATGGCTAGGGAAAAAATCAAATCAAATTGAATGAAAGAAAACTAGATACAATCACCTTAGACTCTTTCCCTTTATACTAATCATACCACCATGAGAGCACATAGAGTTTGCAGCCCTAAATGAAAAGAAAAACACCTTACTTACACACAGAGACTGAGTATAGGGCTGTTTCCATCATATAGAACATGTTTCCATAAAGTATCTTGCACAAGTATGACTTATGACACATTTTGAGAGACCAAAATAGAAATGTGAACGATATACAAATAATAATTATTTTTAAAGAAGTTAAAATAGGAGGAAGCACCTGAGTCTACAGCTCATTTAAACTTGAGCTAAACTTTGAATTGTATGGATTCTGACAGTCTTTTTGAACTTCCACACTTTGAAGAAGTAAGGAATTTAAATATTTTCAAGGAAAATGGGCTGTTGTTGGTATTCAAACTTTAAAATCTTCAGAGAAAGAAAGTGTTTTTCACAATTGTTTAAGAAGAATTATATGAATTATTTGTTTATTTGTGTTGAAGCTTCAAGTGTTCTGGAGTGTTATGCTTGCTGCAAGTGCCTTATGCTTTTCCTCCTCTCCTTGCTCAGCTTTGATGACTTTCATGAATTGTTTCCCTGGAGACACGACGGTAATGGTCATAACAGGTACACTTAGTCTCCACCACTTTCTGACAAGGATACAGTTGATGTGACTGGGTACAAACTTCTTGTAATGAAATCCCAATCCAATTACTGAAGTGTAGAAGTTAAAGTATCAGCAGAATACACTGAGAACACTTCAGCATCTTTCTTTTTCTTTCTGCCCAGCTCAGATATTATTACTTCTTAAACTTTCGTCTGCAGGAATCCATCAATGTCCCTTTTCAAATTCTCTAAAAACATTCTCTAAAGAGGATTCTAAGATAGGCAATTTCCTCTTATCTGAGTTTTCATGGGATTTTAGCTCAAGTTTTACTATATTTTTAAGAGCCCTCTAGATGATCACAGATGGTAGTCAAGTTGAGTTAAAACACATATGATGCAATGCACTCATCACAGGATACCATCTAGGAAGAGCAATCAGGGAAAACATTCCATTACTCAGAAGAGGGCCTGATCAGTTCTTCTGAACACTTCAAATGTTTGAAAACCCATCAGCCTTTAGCTAATGATAATAAATTTTCATAAAAGTTGTTGGAAGTGTTTGTCATAAGGGCTAACAAACAGACCATGGCAAACCACCTGGAAGACAAGGGCTTGTGTATTATCTTAGCTCTGCTAAGATGATAAAAGAAGGTTTTATTCCTTTTGTTGAATTCAAACTTCCTTTTATAAAGAAACATTCTGCCTAAAACATCTCAAGTTCAAAGAAAGAAGTGGCTAATGCATGTTTGCCAAAAGACATTCTGAAGTCCAGCACTATTGGACCTAATTCTCTCATCATGCTCTAGGTGGAACATGGAAGTTAGAATCTGAACTTTGCCAGGCGGTGGTAGCACACGCCTTTAATCCCAGCACTCAGGAGGCAGAGGCAGGCAGATCTCTGTGAGTTCGAGGCCAGCCTGGTCTCCAAAGCGAGTTCCAGGAAAGGCGCAAAGCTACACAGAGAAACCCTGTCTCGGAAAAAAAAAAAAAAAGAATCTGAACCTCTTCTATCAATCTCATCATGTTTTCCTGTGGGTATTTCAAAAGGAAGTCTGGAGTGCTTTCCCAGGTATGTTCACTGAGAGACTTAGCCAGCTGTGGTTTTCAGGTCTTGCCTGAGAAGCAATGTGTGTGTGTGTGTGTGTGTGTGTGTGTGTGTGTGTGTGTGTGTTTGTGTGGTGCTGAGATGGTACCCTTGGTCTTCAACATGTTAAGTAAGTGCTCCATCATTGAACTTATGAACATTATGAACACTCCTAATAAGAATAGTGATAGGTTGTAGATGTCATTTTCTTGACTCTTGAATTTCTAAATTAAAAAAGTAATTACATGAATACATGAATAAAGACAATTTTCTTTCTTTAGGGATACTGAGTTAACTAAGACTCATACAGTTGTCCAGTGATAGCATGAGGTTGATTTCTGACATATACTTTGTAGTGAAAAGAGCTTTGCCTAGTTGTTACTTGAATGCCATCTGGTTATAGTCTAGTTTGCTCATGTAGAATCTGAGATGTAATACAGGAACCTCCTACAGTAGAAGCTCCTTAAGATACATACATATAGGAAAGAAATATAAATGGAATCACTGAATAACGGAGAACACAAAATCCCAGTGAAACATCTCTGGACACTAAATGAAACCTTCAGTGCCAGGAATAGGTTGCATTTTGTTGAGTTGTTGGACAAAGGGTTCCCACTGAAACTTCCAAACTACTCAGGATACTGCCAAGGCTATTGGTTGCTCTCCACAAATTGATAAGTCCCTGTTGCTGACAACAATACTTATATAACTTATTGAATATGGAGAAGTCCAGCTGGTGCCCATCTAGAACCTTCACCCCTACTGAATAGTGTTCATGGTACTGGAAGGGACTTTGCATGCGACCAGAGGAGAAAGATAAACACCCACACAGCTACAAACCCTTCAGACACTTTTAAATCCATTTAAAACCAATCTGTTCACGAATCAAAATGTACCATTTGATCACCTGCTATAAAGAAAGTATGATGATATCATTTTAAGGATGCAAAAATGTTCATGAGTTGGCCTTGTTTCAGGAAGCTTATAATTTACACAATTATTAAAGACTCAGTCACCTGGGGTAGTAAGAGAATGCCAACGCTGACTCTGGGCAGCATGAGAGGATGGCAAGCTTAGCTTGGGTGCTGCTTCCAGCCCACACTCGATGAGTTCAGTATGAATTATCTGGGCTGTCCATGAGGCAATGGTACATATATGTCTACAGGAAATATGTAAGGAGCAGTTGGAGAGACATTACTCTTCAGAAATATATGTTTCACAATTAAAAACAAGCAGTTAGCCTTGTGATCATATAGATGCT